CTGGCCCCCCCTCCCCACCTCGGGCAATCGCCGGGCTTGAGGGCCCGCAGCCCTAGAGGCTCCGTTTCCGGGTGCCCCCATCTTCCCCCCGGGGTGGGAGCTGCAGTAACTGTGCTGCTCATAGTGATTTTTAAAATTTTTATTATAAAAACCTACTTTCTAATAATAAAAGGCCTACAATGATCAAAAGTTAATATTCACAACTATTATGCTGCACGTGTTATCCTGTTACCCTGTAGCCTGGAGGAGACTGAGCGGGAATCTTATCAGTGCTTACAAATATCTAAAGGACGGATGTCAAGATGATGGTGGTACCCTGTGACAGGATAAGGGGGACGGGCACGAACTGAAACACAGGAAGTTAAAGCTCAACATGAGTAAAAACTTTTTTACACTGGGAATGACAGAGCACTGGACCAGGCTGCCCAGAGAGGTTGTGGAGTCTCCTTCTTTGGAGACATCAAAAACCCACCTGGTGGATGCCATCCTCTGCAACCTGCTGTAGGTGGACCCACTTTGACAGGAGGGGTGGACTAGATGATCTCCAGAGGTCCCTTCCAAACCCAACCGTTCTGTGATTCTGTATTCTCAGAAATGTATGAAGTTAGAACTAAATAAATAGACTTTTCCTTTGGATTGTTCAATAAAACATTTTCTTCCCTCATTCAGATTAGTTCTTTTGGAGGTTAAACACTTGGAGAGGAAAATGACATCGATTATCAAGTTGACAACACTTTCAGGGGTGCAGGAGGAGTCTGCCCTTTGCTATCTGTTGCAAGTAGATGAATTTCGTTTTCTTTTGGACTGTGGCTGGGATGAGAACTTTTCTATGGATATTATTGATTCTCTGAGGAAGTAAGTAGTTCAGTTCATACACTTCTGTTGGTTTTTTTTAAAATAGGTCTTGTCCTTTTCTGAGAGTTTTCAAAATACCATGCAGTGGTTTGTGTGTGGCGATGTTAAATTCAATATTGTTCTTTTGTTTGTTTGAAGTATGTTTTTATGAAGGGAATTATACTGCTGAAACACTTCTAGTAAAAACTTCTTGTTTTTTTTCTCGTGGGTCTGATGAGTTACATCTGTTAACTGTAATTCTCAAACTGTTCCGTGTTTGTTTTGGCTTGCATGTTTTGTTTTTTTTTCATAAGCATGACACAGAGCAGAGTTTATGGGAGACTGACCTTGGCTCTCAACTAGCTTAGAATGGTTAACTAAGTTTGAAAGGAAAAAATCCTTAGTCTCTGTAGGCTGAATACAGAGTGGTTCAACTCTCACCTCATGTTTCAAGTTGAATAGACTTTTAGTCAGGAAAACAGCTTCTGTTAGTTATCCCAACCTGCAAAGAAAGAAACCAGTCTAGGCTTTATTACTGAAGTTCTGCAGGCTTACAGCAAGGAGTTTTGCTGATGCAAACATTGGTTACAAGGTTAGGACTGGAACATTGCAATTCCTGAAAGAAACTAAGGTTTGTGATGCCATTTTTATAGATTCACTTTTCTAGCATTGGCACATTTTTAGTGTTTGAAGTCTTTTAACTGAGGATTATTATATACTAAGTATAAGTTACAAGATTTTTTAGAGTGTTTTATCTGAGAAGCAATTAGTTAAAATCCTCTTTTTAATACAGCCATCAAAAGGAATGTGTGTTCCAGTTACTGTGTGAGGCAACAAAAAGCTTTCAGCCCAGCTTGTTTTTTCACTTGTTGCATATGTTTTATGCCCTCAAGTTTTTCAGTTGTGATGGGTGGTAAGTTTTTAGTCTGAGTTCTTATTTTATGCAACACTTTGCAAGAAAAAGACTTCTGTTTTTAAAATTAATAAAACCTCAAAATTTATACGCACTTTTCTTAAATTATATATTTGACCTTTTCTGTTTTTAAAGAAATAGATATTGATTTGATCCTTATCAATTTAAGGATTGTTGTGTCTTTGGTCTTGTTACTTGGTCTTTCTCATCAGAAGAAAAATTGTAGCCTGTTTTAGTTTTTCAGATTTATAAACAATTTGTAGTATGTCTGGAGTGTTAATATTTTTGCCTCTTTTGGTTAATGTACTTTCTGGTGTCCAAGTATAAATTAAATTAAGGTCTTTCTAATAAATAATTTAATGTGAAACCTATGTGCTCCAGACCTTGAAATTGTTTTCAGAAGTCACTTGCATGTTTAAGTACTGGAGATTTGGAAATATCTTTGACTTTTAATTATTGTTTTAAAAAACTTTTTTCTACACCTGGAAAGATTTAAGTTTTCTTGTTTGCCATTCAACTGTGTATGTATTCCCAAAATAGCTGTAATAGGAAGGGCACAAGCTGGAACACAGGAGGTTCCACTGAAATTTGAGAAGAAACTTCTTCTCGGTGAGGGTGACAGAGCACTGGACCAGGCTGCCCAGAGAGGTTGTGGAATCTCCTTCTCTGCAGACATTCAAAACCCGCCTGGACGCCTTCCTGTGCAACCTCATCTGGGTGTTCCTGCTCCGGCAGGGGGATTGGACTGGATGAGCTTTTGAGGTCCCTTCCAATCCCTAACGTTCTGTGTGATTCTGTGTGTTATAATGCCGTACAGAACTGTTTTCATCAACTCCTGTCTTCCCTCTTTTTGTAGACATGTACACCAGGTTGATGCTGTTCTTCTTTCTCATCCTGACCCTCTACATCTTGGTGCTCTTCCATATGCAGTTGGAAAAATGGGATTGAATTGTGCTATTTATGCAACTATTCCTGTATATAAGATGGGACAGATGTTTATGTACGATCTCTACCAGGTATATTTAGTTTGATACTTTCATGTGCAGCATCTTTGATATGGTAGAGTGCTTAGGTTCTTGAATGCTCTGTACTTTTTTGTTTTAGTCCCGCCATAATACCGAAGATTTCACACTCTTTACGTTGGATGATGTAGATGCAGCCTTTGATAAGATACAACAGCTGAAGTTTTCTCAGATTGTGAATTTGAAAGGTAAAAGTTGTCACCAATATTTCAATAAATGGCTGTTAGTGAAAGGCATCATAGTAATTTTAAGTTAAAGTAACTTTTTTTAAAGAGAGTAAGTTTTGGAATGCTGTGCATTTTGCAGGACTGAATTCAGTAGCCCTGTGTCACTCAACTGAACATTTGCCTCAGTATTTGTATATGGAATTGTGTAAAATTTCCACTTAAGGAGGAGGAGACCATGCCAAAGCATATTCAGACATTTGTTTCTCTCTTGTGGTTTTGTAACTTTCCTTGAAATTTGCTCATGTCTCAAAAGCATTTACTTCTGCCTAGTGGCAGATGCCTAAGAGCTCTTCAGTAGCACAAAGGAAATTTTCCTAGAGAATGAATAGATTGTAGAGATTAAGTTACAGCATTTGGATGAATTAATGGGGAAATCTTCACTGACTCTGAATGATACCCACTGTAGCTTATTGCTAGGGACCGTGGTGTCTGGAGCATCAGCAGCTTTTCACTCCTGTTGAATTTAAATATCAGAATGAAATGGGAACCCTGTTTTTAAGTAAAGACACATACAGACTGACCACCAGCAGCTTGTCTCTGAGCTGCAGTATTTCCCAGCTGCTGAATGCTGCTTGCCAAAATACTTGGTCTGTAATTTGGAAAGTAGAAATGGGATGTTGCTCTTGAAAGGCTGCTGACCCTTTTTCAAGGTCTTTGTAGCAAGGCTATGTCTGTGCTGCCAACTTTTACATCTTATAAGTAATTTTCATATTTAATGAAGTTGACTCAAAATTACTTGATGGATGCATTTAGGAAGATAATGTCTGTATTTATTAATAAAGCTGTGCACTTCTGCTCAAATTGGTGGAATACAGCAAAGTCAGTGAGTAATAGTCATGAATGATCTAGTTTTACTCTGACAAAGATGTGGGCTAGCACCAATGATGAGGAGCAACAGTGCATTTAAAAAAAAAAAAAGAAAAAGAAAAAGAAAAATGAGGTGCTGAAAAGGTCCATCATCCCTGACTGCAGCACATGGACATCTTTCCTGGTGGTGTTTAACTTGCGTATTTGTCATTCTGGAATTCTTTCAGTTTCTGTAATTTATTTGTGTTTTTCTAAGTACCTAGACAGTGAGTGATAGAGTAAACATTTAGTATTGCCCCAGAGAGGGATCTGCCTTTCACCAGTGTACTTGCTTTCATGTCGTATGTTTGTTGAACACTGTTGTTTAGCTCTCTAGTTACAGCAGCTCTGCAGTGCCTCTGAGTACTGGTGGGAGGTGGAGGGAGGAAGTAACCTTTGCTTTAGTTTCTTCTTCTGGAGGCAAAATAGAAAGGAATTGCGAAAAGTTTTTGAAGTTGCTGGTTAGATGGGGAGGACAGATGTGTTACTGATTTTTCATGCTTCATTTGTCTTTTTTCCCCAGTAATAACTTTGGCATTCAGTTGTTTAAAATTACTATCTCTTATTCAGAGTAATGGATTTCAATACATGTAATGTACCTAAAACACTGAAAACTTTTGTAGGCAAAGGACATGGTTTGTCAATCACACCGTTGCCAGCTGGCCACATGATAGGGGGCACAATTTGGAAGATTGTCAAGGATGGAGAGGAAGAAATTGTTTATGCAGTTGATTTCAACCACAAGAGGGAGATGTAAGTTCAACATAGCAATATATATTTCTTAGATGTTGTGTTGGCTGTGCATCATTTTGTGTGTGATAAAGAGGTATGTGCCTTTCCAGCTCTAATAAGAGCACTAATTTCACTTGCATTCAGATTAATCAGTATAGAAAAAGCATTAGTTCTGGGTTTCTTCATTCCACTCAGTGTTATTTATTTGTAAGTTTAAAGCAGAAAATACTTAGCTACTGCGCAGTTTGATTTCTGTATGTGCAAACATCTGGAAGCTAGCTGTCTTATTTTTTCGTCATAAAATAGAAATGCGAAAAGTGAGATTTTGCCTTTTTTCCACAGCCATCTGAATGGATGTTCCTTGGAAATGTTGAGCAGGCCTTCATTGCTTATTACAGATTCATTTAATGCTACTTATGTACAACCCAGGAGGAAGCAAAGGGATGAACAGCTACTGAGTACGTATTCTGTTTGGGCTTGAACATAACAGTAATGTGATTTATTAGCCACTGTAAATTGTTTTTCTGTGAGAAATTCATCAGCATCCAAACTAAGAACCTTTATTGAAATTTAAAATAATGTTAATTACTCTTCTCTGATGGAACTGACCCTGTGGGCTAAACATTTTCCTGAAAACAATTAATCATATTTGCAAACTGTGTTTTACCCAGCATCAATTAATCTCTTCTTAAGGGATTTTTAAGTGATCTTCCTCAGCACATTCTTTTTTAAACTCCATTTTACTATTGTTTGGTTTTTTTAATAAAAAAGGAAAAGAAAAAAAGGGTAGTTATCAAGACAGTGAGATCTTCAGAGCTACCAAGAAAACTCAGGCTCCCTTTAATTTTGGTGGAAATGTGGTTTTGGATCTCTTTTGAAGTTTAATTTATTTCTGTGTTCAATTTGCTTTTGATTATGATTGCTAGTGTGATATAACAAACAACAAGCCACAAACATTCTAATTTTGGTTCAAAGAATAAGTAGGTTTTTGTTTTGTTTTTATTGCTTCTTAGCTAATGTTTTGGAGACATTACGAGGGGATGGAAATGTGTTAATAGCAGTGGATACAGCAGGCAGAGTTCTGGAACTTGCTCAACTTCTCGATCAGATCTGGAGAACGAAAGATGCAGGATTAGGAGTCTACTCTCTAGCACTTTTGAATAACGTCAGCTACAATGTAGTGGAGTTCTCTAAATCACAGGTTTGTTTTGAATGTAAAATGCAATTATGAGGCAGGTAATGAAACAAGTATGCAAAAGCATTTTGTTTTTCTTCTTAACAGTAAAAATTGGGTAAATACTGGGTGTTGTCCTTATTCTGTAGTGCATGTTTGTGTCTCAGATCGTTCAACCAAGTAACACAGAGTCCAGTCATGACTATGGGCATGTTTCTTGATACTCAGTCACAAGACTTGTTAGCATAGTTTATAGCTGTTAAAAAAGGAGTCTTAAAAGTACTTATTTCTGTGTTGTTTATGCTCAGTGTTATTTCTACACTTGCTGAGAAACATTGATGTAATAATGTACATATTGCATCTTGTCCTTCCCATCAGGTTTGTACATTATTGTGGAACTTGTATTCTTATAGATAACTTTTTCTCAATACTTATTTCAGGTTGAATGGATGAGTGACAAGTTGATGAGGTGCTTTGAGGACAAGAGAAACAATCCTTTTCAGTTCCGCCATCTCTCCTTGTGTCATAGTCTGTCTGATCTGGCCCGAGTGCCTAGTCCAAAAGTTGTTCTTGCCAGTCAACCTGACTTAGAGTGTGGATTTTCTCGAGATCTTTTCATTCAGTGGTGCCAGGATTCAAAAAACTCTATAATTTTAACTTATCGCACTACTCCTGGAACATTAGCACGATTCCTGATTGATAATCCTTCTGAAAAAGTTATAGATATTGAGGTAAGAGTTGTCTATATTATTATCTCAAAGGTTTTTCAATTGTGATCCATCTAAGGAAGTATGAGCAAAACCGAATTTAGTTTCCTTTTTGGTCTATTGAAAACACTTCTAGTGGCAGAGGGAAATTTGAAATCAGTATGTTAGATGTTTAACAAATTGTAGGTAAACCTACATAAAAATAGATTTTGTATTAGGAACTGCAAAATGCTGTTTGGTGGTGTGGCAAAATTAATACTCCAGAGAGATGAGCATGAAATTGCTTTTAAATATTTGTCTTTAGACAAGACTTTCCTTTGTGGTTTGTTATAATAGAAAAAATTCTGCTTGCAGTTGATGTGCAGATCACAATATATGACGTATTATTCTTACTGGAGAATACGATGGTATTCTATTACTAGAATTCAGTATTATTCCAAGTGACCTATAATCTGATTTGATTTTCAGAAAACAAGAAACAAAACTTACCATTATTTTGCCTGCTGGTATAGCTTTGCCAGGTTCTATCTGGTTTAATATTAGTGACACAAAAATTAAAAAAACCCACTGCTCATCTCAGAGTATTTGTGTCTGCTTACTATAGAAATATTTGTAAAGCTAATTGATTTTAATACTTTTAGAAATGCTTTTCTGTTAGTCTACTAATTGTTAACATTGTCATGATGTTGCCATGCCAAGATGCCACATGTTTCCATAATCTTGTTTTGTATGTGACATGCAAGTTACACTTGCCCTTGGTAATTAAATATAAATGTTCTTGTCAGCAGTGTGTTGGAAAAGTACTAAAATCATGTCAGCTACTCACAATAATAGTAATTTTAATTCTACCTGCAGTTGAGAAAACGTGTCAAGTTGGAAGGAAAGGAACTTGAAGAATACCTGGAAAAGGAGAAACTAAAGAAAGAAGCAGCTAAGAAGTTAGAACAGTCTAAAGAGTAAGTATATTGTCTGTTGTTGCATTCTGCTGTTATGGTCAGAGTTGAAATATTTGTGTGGTCATTCTGCTGCTTTAACCATTTACAGGGATAAAGGAAAATCGTAGTTTTGATAGACTTGTCTGAGGGTACTGAGGAATTAGGAATGGTTGTCTTTAATCTGTTATGATAGTTCATAGTTTCATGTGCTGTTTGCATGTGTTTCTCAGATGCATAAATTGCCCTTGTCCTTGGTCAGTGTTATAACAACTGTTCTTTTCAAGTCAGTGTGTTTATGTAATATTAAACCTGATTGAAAAAAAGGAAGTGCAGGGTTTTTTTGAATGTCATTTCAGGGCAGATATTGATTCCAGTGATGAGAGTGATGCTGAAGAAGATATTGATCAGCCAACTGTACATAAGACCAAACATGATTTGATGATGAAAGGTGAAGGTAGCCGGAAAGGGAGCTTCTTCAAACAGGCAAAGAAATCTTATCCAATGTTTCCAGCCCCTGAAGAAAGAATTAAATGGGATGAATATGGCGAGATTATCAAGTATGTGGTGGTAATTCATACTAACATGTAGTAGCTATGAAATAAAAAATAGGAGTAATAAAAATAAAATTCATCATTTTGTCTCCTTTGAAACAGTCACATACTCTTCTAACTGCAGTAACTTTTGAACAGTTAGGACAGTTTGCACTGACTTGTGGGAAGCTTATGATGGGATTGAAGCTGCAGAGTGCTGATCCTTGGCATGTGTTCACACCTCTTAGGATGTTTCCACTCTAGGCTTTTTTTTTCTTTCCTTTAATCTTCTAAGAGAGAAGATTTGTTGTTTTTTTTTTAACCTGACTTTTGTTCTGCTTTAAATTACAGATAATTTTGATAAATTTATATTGAGGGGAAAGACATTGTTAATCCTAGAAAAAACTAGCAATACTCGTCCTATTTGCACAAGGAATACTTGCTAGAAAACCTCACTTTACTAGGATTTCCCAAGATAGCAAAGTCCTTTTGTAAGATAGGAAGGTAATATTTTACAAATGAGCTTTGTTCAAATGTGGAAATATTGAAGGCAAGTGTAATAAAATTGTTGGTACTAACAGTTATAAAATATATCAGTAATAATAGCCAGAACTGTTTGTTTTTATGTTATGTTAAAAGCAAAATGTCTTTCGTTCTTCAGACCTGAGGATTTTCTAGTTCCAGAACTTCAAGCAACAGAAGAAGAAAAAAGCAAATTAGAATCTGGTTTGACAAATGGAGAAGAGCCTATGGACCAGGATTTGTCAGACGTTCCTACCAAATGTATTTCTGCAACAGAATCCATGGAAATTAAGTGAGTGACTGTTGTTCCTGTCAGTTCTGCTAGATTGGTGGCTTGGGTATGGTGCAAATTGGGTAAAAGGCTGGCTTGGAATTAAGAAAGTGGGAAAGGGCTTGCTTTTTGGTGGTTGTTTTCTATTTTTTTTTTCCACCCAAGCTATCAAAGCTGGATTTTACTATTCTTTCTGGAAGTACAGTACAGAGTCTTATGGTTCCCACTCTTAAGAAATTCACAGTTTGTTCCCGTGTCTCTTGATGGAGACAAGTAAAAGAGGAAGAACAAATGTTACAATAGTATGTTAGCATAGATATTCAAATGCATACATATTTTGTTAAAAGAACTTACTCAAATGTGCTTATCTCATGTTTTAGATAACTCTGTATTTTGGGAATTTGCAGTGTTAAACACACATACAAGCTAATATTTCACAGTGATGTATTTTACTGATCCATCATATACCTTGTGCTGACAGCTTCTGCTAATGTAGAATAACTTCAAAACATCTTCCATTTCAAAATAAAATACTTTGGAGCACACAAAGGTTAAATCTTTTAAACTAAAAAATGCTATTCTTGGGTTTTTAATTCAAACTAGAGCCAGAGTTACATACATTGACTATGAAGGACGCTCAGATGGGGACTCAATTAAAAAAATAATTAACCAAATGAAACCAAGACAACTGGTCATTGTCCATGGACCACCTGAGGCCAGTCAGGACCTTGCAGAATGTTGCAGAGCTTTTGGTGGAAAAGATATTAAAGTTTACATGCCAAAACTGCATGAAACTGTAGATGCAACCAGCGAAACTCACATTTACCAGGTAAGGTACTGGAATTTAAGTTGTGTAACTACTGTGAACTGCGCTATGTGTACACTGGGCTTTGTGTGATCAAGACAGTAGCTTTTTTCTGTCTTATAGGTTAGCATTCTTCTTCTTATTGATACAAAGTATTTAAAAACTTAAATGTGAGATCAGTGTGTTTGTATCTATAGCGCAAAAGACAACATTCATGGGAACATGGGTTTGCTTTATTTAAGTCTTAACAGATTTATAATGCCTATATTTAGGGTATCACTGTACACGACTTGCAATTCATGTCCTTTTTTACCTAAATAGAATCATAGTATTTAAGAATGAGCATGTAAAGTTAGGAGCAAGGTAATGTTAAAAATGAATAAATAAGACACTCCTGTCTCCCCCAGAAAAGTTGATGTGATGGTTCTTGGAAAGTGAGGTTATGCTGATGTGTTGCACTGTGTTAGTATATTGCGTTTAATTTTCATGGTTAAGCTCTAAATAAGAAAGCTTGGGTAATTAGTGTGAAGTGTGTGGAAAATTGAGTATGGCCCCAATTGAACTTTTGAGGTTGTTCAGAGGAAAGTCTCTCCCATGCAGTTTAGGCATTAGTCCTTCATTCCTCCTGCCCTAATAGAAAAATGTCAGTAGAATTGTTGAGAGAGGTACTTCTGCTTCTTTCCAGAGAAAAGTCTGTTACCATGTAGGAAGTGGAAAGTTCCAGTTATTAAAAATTATCCAGTTCTGACAGTCATAAAACAATGTGTTTTCTGTGTTTGGCTTGTTGGTTTGGTGTTGATGGGGTTTTGGGTTTTTTTGGTTGGTTGCTTTTTTTGTGTGTGTGGTTTTTTTGGTTGTTGTTCATTTGGATTTGGTTATTTTGGGTTTTTTTGTTTTTAAGCTATATGAGGATTGCTAATGAGTAAGAGATGACACAGTTGTAATTTTTCACAACATATTTATCTGAATAAAATTGTAATTGCTTCACATTTCATTTATATAGATATATAATATATAAAAGGGGAAATCCAGTCTTCTGCATAGCTTTATTTTGCTTTTCTGTTTGAAGCTTGCTGAACAGATTAAGTACAGCAGAGACGCTGACTCAGAAACTAATAGATGTGGGGCATTAGGATCCTGGTGTCTTTGTGCTGCGTATGGTAGTTAGTTGCAGTATCCTTCATATAGCTGCAGCCTTGATTCCGCTGTGGGGATCGTGCAGGTTCTCACGTGGATAACACTCTTTTAGAGTAGGGTTTTATTTAATGGGCTGAAATTCTGGAATGCACAAGAGGAATTAAAGGTAAGGTAATGTGTTCATCACTTCAGAATCTGATGTTTACAACATCGCTTCTTACAATACATTTCTTTTTTTTTGAGGGTTGAAATTTGGAACTGCTGTTCAGTAACCTAAATGTATCTATAGAAACTTGCCTTAAGTTTACTAAGGCCAACTGGGGAACTCCTTGGTCACAAAAATGGTTTCTCCTTAGAAGGAGATTGCTCTTGCTGTAAATTTAGCTCAAGTTTGCAGTTGCCTAGGTTCTTTTTTTATTTAAGATAAAAAGGGTATTGATCTGTGCTGCTTTCTAAGTTGAGTAGTGATACAAGTGTTAGATAAATTATATTTGAAAAGAATAGAACATCTTATCTTGGTGATACCGATTCCCTGCTTTGCCTTCCCAAAAGAATGTGAATCAAACCTCTGTGGAGAGAGTGAAAAGAAAACCGCTAATTTTAAAGCTTAAAGAACTCTTTCTGTGTTTTCCATCAAACTAATAGTACTTTTATTTTTGTGCAACCCAGGTCAGGTTAAAAGATTCTCTTGTCAGCTCCCTTCAGTTCTGCAAAGCCAAGGATGCTGAGCTGGCTTGGATAGATGGTGTTCTGGACATGCGGGTTTCAAAAGTGGATACTGGAGTTATTTTGGAAGAGGGGGAGCTGAGGGAAGATGAAGATTCAGAGATGCAAGTGGATGTGCCTTCTTCAGACTCCAGTGTCATTGCACAGCAGAAGGCCATGAAAAGTCTCTTCGGTGACGATGACAAGGAGATATGTGAGGAGAGCGAGATCATTCCTACTTTGGAACCTCTGCCACCTCATGAGGTAGAGAAATTACTCTGATCTGGACTTTTTTTGAGGAGTTCTGTATTCATTTGCCATTTTCTAGTGCTGAGAGGTTGGTACTGTGATCTTACTCAAATGAAAGCCTAACTGAACCTGGATTTTCATGTTTGGTTTTCTCTTTGTTAAACCTAGTACTGGTTTTTGTTCAGATTTTATGCTTTTCAGCAAGGAGTATCTCTTACATGCACTAACAGTGCCTAGCATACAGTTCCCATCTATTTGTGAGGATAAGATTTTAGTTAGCATGTTTCATATTTGTAGTTAGTACTTCCAGATTTGGAAATCAGTTGGCATTTAGTTGCTCTTGGTTTTTATTATGTTTTGTTTATGCTGTAGAAAATACTTCATATGCCTGAGATACAGATCGCTGAAATTCATACATCTCTGCTACTCTATAGTAGTCATTTGAGAGTTCAGTAATCTTTTCTATAGATTTATCTTTACTTTTAAATAAAAATACTTTGCATGTGAATAGATATTATTTTATCTTTTCAGTGAATTCCTCCTAATCCTAGAATTGCATTTTAAGACACTGTTGTGCAGTCCTAAATGTAGCCTGTTCTAGGAGCTAGATAAATGTGGAGACAACTCTAAAAGTCTATTCAGATTAATGACAACTGTCATCTAAGTACTTATCGATCAGCATTGCAGCTCTGTCCCTGGCATAACATGTCTTGGAAGAGGGATCTTCAATGACAGCTTTCTATTTGTCTTCAATATGTGAGCAAAGAGGGAAACTTTTTCCTTTACTTGACAGATAAGACCTTCTTGTCCTGGAAGTGTCCTGCAGGTGAACAGAAATAGAACCAGTCTTCTCATTTGTAGTCTTATAGTCCTTTGGAAAAAATGGAAGGTATTAAGTAGCAGAAGTATTAAAATTGTGTGTTGTTTAAAGGTTCTTGGACATCAGTCTGTGTTTATGAATGAGCCGAGGCTGTCTGACTTCAAGCAAGTTCTCCTGCGTGAAGGTATACAAGCTGAATTTGTAGGAGGAGTGCTTGTGTGCAACAACCTGGTGGCTGTTCGCAGGGTAAGTGTTCTTTAAACCCTTTGATAAATAATTTTCATTTAGAATATTAAGTTTCTTGTAAAGTTAATAAATTGAAACTTGTCTTTTGTTTCAGACTGAAACAGGGCGCATTGGATTGGAAGGCTGTCTCTGTCAGGACTTCTATAGGATAAGAGACCTTTTATACGAGCAATACGCTATTGTCTAAGGAAAGTGCTGCAAAGGTGTTTTTACTTGAACTTATAAAGACAATGGAGATTTCTCCCAGTTTTGACTTTTTGTAGTTTTCTAATTTATACCGGGGAAACCTAATTCATAAAGAACCATTAACTACCCTGAACATGTAAATAACTGCTACTGTTGTTCTTCATAAATCTGTTGGTACATTCCATGTTGTTGACTTTCAAACTGTTACAACTTGCCATCTCCCACATAACACATCATAAATGACTTTATGATAATGAACCCTGCTCAGGAAAGGTTCAGTTTGTCATGACATGTTTTGGTTTCATAGATTCCCTGCCAAAGAGTGCAAAATATATAAAAGTCATTCTTCTGTTATAAAATAAGATTAGATAGGGAGCTGTGAGTTTGTTTGGTTTTGTTATTTTTGGGTTTTGTGTGGTTGATTTGGGGGGGGGGTTGGTTTTGTTTTGTTTGGGTTTTTTTAGTAACTTAAATTTAGAGGAAAGTCTTGAGTCTCTCTCTCTTTTGTGTTTTTTGTTTTGTTTTGGTTTGGTTTTTTTAAATCAAGGTTAGTTAAAGTACATTTTTAATAACCCATTTAAAACTAGACTACCTAAACTTTTCCCTGGTGTTAAATCTGGCTACATCTTAACACTGTATCTGCTCCACCTTACTCATTTGTTCTGGAATAACATTTCATATTCTATATAATGTATTAAGTCTGCAGGATCTAAATAAAAATTCCAAAATTACTTTGGAAAGGTACTCTAAGAAGGCTGGATAATCTTGTCAGGCAGTTTAAAATCCAATAGCTGTGTGCTTCAGAGTAACGTCTGTACAAACTTAAGAGAATTTGTAACTTCTAGCTTTTGCTAGACTTTCATACTTGCAAAGTCTAAAGCCTTTATCCATGCACTGCTGTTGGTTGAGTGCCATGAGCCAGGAATTTCAGTTCATGTGATGTATTTGACACTTTAATGCCATGTCTCATTGTAGTTGCATGTTTTGTCCCCTTTTTCATTCTAATTGACAGCGAGACTTCCTGTAGCTGCTGATGCTAGGGATTGACCTTACTTTTTAGGTGAAGATCAGCACAGTTCTGGGCACCTTGATTTCTGAGAAATTAACCTGAGCAAACAAATGGCCTCTCTGGAATTTACTTAATTCTTTTTACCCTGTCCACATGTGAGCCACCAGCTTTGGCAGTGGAAGGTTGCTTGCTTGCTTTTACATACAACAGCAATGTAATATGTGTTCTCTGTGTGTATGTTTAAATAAATCCTTTTGAAAATGTGGCAAAAAACAGCCCTGTGGGCTATGAATGGAAAGATAATTTACTTTGCAGTTCATTCTTGACAGCTAGTTTTCTCTCTGATCTATAGACTATTTATTCTGTTGAAAATAGTAACTTAGAACTAAAGACCATGTTTTAAAAAAAAAACCAAACTGCTAGAGCTGTATACTGAAAATGTAAAAAAAACCTTGAAAATTTAGTGCTAAGTAAGAATGTATTTTGTTACACGAAGAAAATCTTTGCTAGGAATGACTGAATGGCTCAATGCTGCTTTTTTTTTTAACAGTGTAGAAAAATGTTTCTTTTCCATTATATTGATAGCCAGAACTTCCTAGAAATGCCCTGGTTTTGTAGTTGTTTTGTAGCAATGCTATGTAAATCTATAAGATACTGGATGCTTGTTGGTGAATACTATTGTATTACTATTGTTGCTGATACTAATGAACTTTTATAAAGTGAGTTACTTTGTACATAATCATGTTGGCCTTGGGACTTAGAACTTGAGGGCTTAAGGTGGGCAGAGATCACACGTGCCCACATAGAATATACTAATAAAGAAAAAAACCCCTAGCAAACCAAACTAAAAATAGTTGTGTTTTTAAGAAAGAGATAAAGACAAGTGTGATCATAAACTTTTCTATCAGTTTTGGGTTTTTTAACCTATTGGTTCAAATTCAGCTAAGTTTAGCAAAATTTTAGTGTTATCTTTCACTCAATTCTTGTGTTCTAGTGAAGAAGAGAACCCCAAATTAGTGCTATTGCTAAGAAATAGACTCAAGTATGAGCAAAACAGCCTATCACAGGCTGCAGCTGCGCTGTGGGGCAGGTGTGCTCCTGGGCTGTGCATTCATTACTTGTAAGCAGTGTGGAAATGAAGCAAATTCCCATGGATTTTACTGTCTGCTAGCAGACAGATCTATCTCTGATAGATCATTGTTTTTTCCTATTTTCTTCTTGTTCTTCACTGTGATTCACTTTAAACAATAATTGGACTTCTCTGTGTAATTCTCGGAGTTACTAATCTGGTTCTTGCTTGTCTCTGAAATGAAAGATTTGTTCCCCCTTACCTCCACAATATGTCAGTGCTGCCATGGACTGTAAGTTGTATTTTTGGACTTATTAATTTTCTTCATTAGCAGTAAAAATTTGATAAAGAGTACCATTTTTTACTCTTTGCTTTATTGCTCTTGAGGGCAAGAATATTAACTTCAAGTTGAACTTAGTTTTGGGAATTACTGACCGTTTAACAATATTTCTTTCCAAGAGTGTTGGATAGTTCAGGTTACTGAGCTGAGAAGAGCGAATGGGGTGTGGAGACACAAGAAAGGCAGAAACTTGCCTTTGCCCACCCCAAAAGTCTGTGGTATTTGTGGGTAAATCCTAGCTTTTATATTCTCTTCTTCTGGTGCCTGTGTAGGAGAATATGAAGACGTATTTAAGAAGATGTAAGGGAATGTAGAAGCAGAACTCTATTAATAACAAAAAATAATTATAGAATTAATTGTTAAGCTGTTCCCATTGTCTAAACATAGCTTTACCCTGAAGGTAAATAACTATGTGGGTGACAGTCTCATTTTTAATCATTTTACTTCGACAGTATGTGCTGGAGGTGAGGTGAAGCTGAAAATCTTCCCTGAACAATATTTAGACTTAACCAGATTCACTTCTCAAAATACGCTGTTAATGGGAAGGTAGTATGCCCTGCATTCAGTGAGAGTAACAGAGATCAGAACATCTGAGATCTATTTGCTGGTAAAACTTGCTTGGAAATGTAGGCGTTCTCCTGTATCTGTACTAGCTTTTAATTGCAGTCAAACACTATTCATGTGGAATAAACAAGCAAAGAGACACCCCACCAACCCTCCCTTCCCCTCTTTAAAGTAGTTATTATAGGTGGTTGTACCCTAAAACACTTACATTATGCAGAATAAAGATTTCTTTGATAAGGCATGACATGGTATTTGCAGATATTTTCATAGTTTTAAAAGGGTGGTGCTGGGGAAGATGATCTTGCAGTCAAATCTCATGAAGAAATGCATTCAGTAAACAGAATGTGTGGTCTTGATCTGAAGACTGAATAAGGAACTGATGGTAGTTCAAAATAGGATAATAAAACTAGATCAAAATAATATTTAAAATTGCTCGTTGAAATTTATTTTAAAAAATACTTTAAGCAGTCTTAAGTCTTATCTTCCTACTGATTAGAAAAGAGACGTGACAAAAAGATCAAAATTTGCATTACTAGAATTTATTTGTAGCTGGGAGCCTGTCGCGTGGCTTGTTTCCTGCAAGGGCAGAACAGGGTAGTTAGCCAAATTGATGTGAGCACTATTCGTCTTAAAAAACATAGTTTTATTCCTGCCAGTGAAGTTGAAAGCTTCCTTTATAATAACACAAGCTTTTGTAGAAAATCATTGTCCGTGAAGTTTGCCAGCAGGGCAAATTTTTCACTGAATGTTTTGGATGGCCTAAATTGCATCCTCCCTGCATGATAAGCAGTATCTGTTGTGAAGCGTTAGTGTACATCAAACTGCTTGACCATGGAGGTGAAAGAGCATGTTGATTCAGATTGATCTAAATTACTTCAGTTACTTGAGTAAAACTCTGAATTCCTTGTCCTAAAAGGTGTCTTAGTGTTTCTGGCAGAGGGATTCTGAAGAGGGGTTGCAGTTCAGTGGTGAAGTGAACTGATCTCTCCTTTTGGCCCAGTAACACTTGCTCACAGTGGTAGAAGAGGAATATAGACGTAGCAGTTAAAATATCTGTAAATTGACAGGTATGTTTTCATACATGTAGTGAGTGTGTGGAAGTTTGATAAATATGGAAGATACAAAGGTAGAGGAGAACTAGATTGTTTCATGCAGTGCACTTTAAATTTTACTCTCCTTGGTATAGTATAGATTACCACTGTGATACAAAGTAAAAAACGACTGCATTTTTGACTAGAACTTCCAAGAAGCCCTGTAGCTGTTTTCCTGGAAAAGAAGGATCCATAGAAAGTGAAACTGTTCTGAAGAAGCTGGGATGTGCTGACCACCCTGTCTTGTGTATATCATCCTGGTGGGGAGGTGGGCATGGGTGGGAACATGTCTGTGTAATAAAATGTCCCATTTTTACATGGTCTTAGTCAATGTGGAGAAACGAACAAATCTGCCTGTCAGGAGTTTGGCTGTGGATGCCTTTTCTGAATATATTTCTTTAGGCAGTAACTTATTCTATTTAGTGATTGTTAAAATGATAAACCAGCAAACAGAGCTCTCTTTTTGCTGCTTCCCTCTGCTGGATAGAGCCAGTAGTGCTTAGTTGTGTGTCAGGCTCATTGACACCCACAACCACGAAAGGCTTCTCTACCATCTTAGGATCTGGGCTCTGTACATGAGCTTGAAGCAGTATTAACCTACGTACCTGTTGTTGAATAATCCTCTTAGGTGATGCAGGCTGGATCTGCCATTCAGCAGCTGAGTGACAATGAGATGAGCATCTGCCAGCAAGTGTCGCTTGTAACCACAATCTGGTATTTGCATGTTTTGATAACAAGCAAGTGCATTATTTCAGTTGTGTAGGCTTTTCTTCAATATTTCTCTTTTTCAGTGCAGTTTTTCGGAAGTGCTAAAGACTTCTCTAAAAGGTAGTTTTGACAAACGGTTCTAAAGAAATTTGCAATTATGGTAATTTTAGTTAAAAAAACCACAAAACCAAACCACAAACTTTCTGTCCAACTCAGCCTGAGGCTGATATCAGTTTTCATAAAATTTACTTTGGAAAATTACATAGGGAAATCAGTGGAGAGAGTTCATCATATGGTAGTGGCTACGGTGCCTTTACTGGTATTCAAGATTTATAAAATAAAGCCTAATATTTCATGTCAAGTAACAATGTCAGAAACTTTGCAGCTAAGTAACTATTCCATCTGCAGTGCATTAAAGGATTTTTCTTTTTTAGATACAACTAAAATTATTTTTTCCTTTCTTTGCGGCTAATCGGTCTATAGGAATATCTAGGTGTCAGTTATGAAGAATGATCTCTTATCAACACAATTGTTAAGCAACAACACTTGGAGTGATGAGTTTCTCAAGCTGGTGGTTTCGTGGATACAGTTTTAGAG